AGTGCTTTTACTTTTTACTTCAAGTATTTTTAAAGGATACTTTGTACTTTTTACTTAAGTACGTTTTGCCTCCAGTACTTTTTACTCTTACTCAAGTCGTTTTATTGTTAATTACTTCTACTTTCTCACATGTCTTGTGATTGGCTTCCACAAACCAAACTTGATCGGTTTTGTGACTCCTTCTTTGGAAAGATCTATTTTATAGTGTAATTGTGTTAATTGTTACAATCAACTATTCGATGTATTAGAGCTGTGTGGTTCCAGAAATTTCATCTCGGTTTCAGTATTTTAAAGACAACGACAATTCAAAGCATTTGCTTCAAATAATTTGTAATATAACATGAAAAAAACAACTTACAAGTAGTTAAATGAAACAAAATCATCTCCGTTGATATATGGGATTGACTTGTGAAATAAATATGTTCTAACCTCTAAATAAAATTATGAAAAAAGAAAATTCTTTGTTTGCGCAGACATTTTGTTACTTTTCCGACACGAAACAGCGAGGTTTTTGTGCATGCCCGGTGCCGACTTTCGGTCGTCGCTAAAAATAACCGTACCGACCGAATCTTTCGGTTAACCGCATAGCTCTATGGTATATAGCATTATCTGGTCTTCGTACAACCGGCCCCAGAGCTATTTATTGACTTCAATTTGTTTTGTAGCCACTTGGAGAGGAACCCCCTACAACGTTGCCATATAATGATAGCGGGATCAACATTTCGGAAGAGCTGAAGAATTGCACTTTATGGAGATCCATGGAAGGCAACCAACAAACTACCGAAAGCAACGACGGACCTCGTGAACGCAAGCCTCATAAAAACAAACATAAACATAAACACAAGCATAAACACAAACACCATCGTCATCGTGGAGACGACTTCGGCCACGAACGGAAACTGTCGACCGTTGCCGATGCACCGGATCTGGAAATGTTGGCGAACGACGACGAAACCGATTCGCCAGGCATCCCGCTTGTGACACTTACGACCGTTGACGAATACGACAAGAAGGAAGGCGCGACTACCGAAACTACAATGCATATTGAAGATGATGGCGATCAACATGCTGACGACACAAAACCACTCAGGCCAGTCAGTGTTTAGAATTGAAAATGTTTATCCCCGGTGAGTAATATAGAGGTTCACATTTGACTTCTACTACCGCTACCACTATACCTTTCACTGCCTTAGTACACATCTGATTGGTTAATCGGATACATCAAACACATCTGATTGGTTAATCGGATACATCAAACACATCTGATTGGTTAATCGGATACATCAAACACATCTGATTGGTTAATCGGATACATCTAACGCATCTGATTGATTAATGGTACAGTAAATACGAAGCTCTAGGAAGTCAAGTCTAAACCTCTCTAATAATTATCCTTGTAAGCACTAAATTTTGAAAGTGTACAATTTTCAATAATCGTGTATCTAAACTTAATTGGGCTATTTATTTATAGGAATGAAAATGTCCCGCGGCTTAAATAATTCCTGAGCAAAACGTATAAACAGTAATTTGCAATGCGTCGTAGATTATTTACGGGGCCATCGTTTAACGTTGTTTGTTATCGCGACTTTGGTTTACTCGTTTTTCGCTTTCTATTTAAGCCGAGGCCATTTTCATTCGTATAAATGGCCTCATATATTCAGTACTGTAAAGGTCTCTTACACTGTAAATTGGAATTCTGTTTAAAACTATTTTATGGCCTTAAATTAGCAAACTTCGTCATTTGCGCCATCTTGGGATAGTTAACAATCGCTTTCTCCAGAGCTACAGGAAATTTACCCCTCCCCACTATCACTATCATATTGAGACTGACGCCCGTATTCTAAAAGCTCACTCACACTCAATGAGTGGAGGTTCAATCTGAGCTTCTCTTGAGTGTCAATGCTGTTTTTGAATAGCTGGAGGGTGAGTAGTCACCGAGTAAGGTATGACACTAGCCCTCCAGCTATTCAAAAACAGCATTAACACTCAAGTGAAGCTCAGATTGAACCTCCACTCATTGAGTGTGAGTGTGCTTTTAGAATACGGGCGTGAGATTTGACGTAGTGGTCGTATTTTGGTCAAAATAGAATAGCTACGTGTGAAATTAATTTACCAATTATTTGTTGTTTTATTAGGAAAATGAATGTTGAGGAAAATGCAACCTAATATAATGAACGGCGAAAAGAGTCACCTTATGGAGTAGAAGGTAATCCAGTAGAATTAGAAACCGGTTGACACATGAAGAAAACTGGTCAATCGATGTCATCACATCAAAGTTCATCGAGTGTGCTGTGCTCAAAGTTCTTTCATTCATACGAGGTTGAAATATAGGTAATCATGACTCAAATAATACAACGCATTATTGAGTTATTGTTTCAGCGAAGGCAACTTGCCAATTTCCCATTCTAAGGAAGTGGGGAAATCCTTTTCAAACTATTTATGCTTGATAGTTTATGAAAGTGGAAGTGCATTATTAAACATATGTTTGTGAAGAGATGTGTTAGAAAATGGGTCAGTTTTCTTTACGTGTCAACCACACGAGCTATGGGCTTGCTTGGTATCAGATATCTCCGTGACCAGCCGAAATTTTCTATGGATACACTGTAAATTGCAAGGAATTGAATCAACTCCAAACGTGTTATTCTATCATCAAAAAAACGAAGACAGAATAACACTTTTGAAGTTGATTCAAGTCCTCAAAATTCACAATGTGCCGAGATCTCCAATACGAAAACGAGATGAAATAACATGCAACGTCAGAATTTCGTATTCGAAAATTCTCAAATTTATCCAATATATAATGAGCAGTGCTGTACAGTATGTTTGAATACAAATTCTTTGAAATTTTTGTATTCTTCATACCACAGCCTACGTGAATATGAAGTGGCACACGCTGGTCAAATTTAGCAAACTTTCTCCCATTCATGTGGGCTCATATTGTCAGCGGACATCTCAGACAAAATTTGCAGTTTATCGGAAGTCCGCTGAAAAATGAATCTGCTGTACTGGAAAATTTTCTGAATATTACCAGCCGGAATTTAATTGGGAGAAATAAAGAAAATAGAACATTTCAATCAGTGGAATGAATTGATGCTGCATAGATAAGCAAGCCCTTAGTTCAATGTCTGCTGCGGGCAGCAGTAGTAGGAGAGTGAATTTCTCCATTTTTTTCAATTTTTTCATTGAGTAAAACAGGAAGTAGAATTTCTTAACCTTCTTGAATATTGTGAATTGGTCGTAACTTATTTAATTTAATTATAATGCGTTAATAGATCATTATTTCAATGGATGATTGCAGCTATTTAGACAAGAAGAGCGAAACCATTACCATAGCTGGAAAGAGTATCTTAAAATGAGTATAATTGCAAAGTTTGGTTGCGAATTGTTGTAAAATGAGGAAAATATAGCCCTGTGGAGTTCGCAAATTTTGTATATATTTGCATTACGCGCGGGAAAAATAACCTTTTTGTGTCAAAATTCACAGGGCTATGTTTTCTTCATTTTACAACATTTAGCATCCAGTCTTTGTAGTTTTACTCACTCTAAGACGCTCTTTCTAGCTGTGGTGGTGGATTTCGTTCTTATTGCGTTGATAAAAATTTAGTCTACAGTTGGAATCAGCCATTGATTCAAGCAGTATACAGTATATATGGAAATATAATAGCAACAGTGAAATAAACCCTGTATACTAGCTGGTTTCAATGTATAGATACGGTAATGCAAGGACAATGGGATACATTATTAGAGTAATATCTTTACTAAGAGTGAAGGAAAACGGTGATTATTTATTGGACATTGTTCTCTGGGGTGGAAACAAAATATTGAATACATGGTTTCAAACTAATATGAATATTTCTGATACGAATATGAAAAATTAATATTTGAGGAATATTAAAGTAGGAATATTGAGTATTAAAGAAAAAAAATTCATTGCTTCCACCCCCGATGGACTTACATTGCCTCATCGTTTACTCTGGATATGACGTTCAAACGTTTCCTTAATTTCACTTTTTGGCATTTTGGAAATGACTGAATTGTCAAGAAAATAGCTTTTAGTGGAGGATAATGGTTTGTGCGAGAATTAACTAGTAGGGTGAAAAAAAAATATAATAAATTCTGTCTTAAATTAGAAAATATTATCAATGTATTCCCAAATTTGAAATTATGGGGTAACCTTGAGCATATATTTATTATGGTGTAGCGTTGAAGTGTTTTGTTTTAGTTCAGACAAATGTAGTTTTTTTGAACACCATTGCATAGTGGACAAATATTTTATTATAAGTAATATCTCTTGTGCAAATGTAGTCTACATGTTCACTAATTTTGTCAAAAATATATAATAAAAATAAAATCAACGATTCAATATTTCAGTTGTAGTTTATGAATAGGTAAAAATAATGGTAAAAATAACACCGTTCTGCGCATGTGCTATGTGACGACCCTATGGGTGTAAACAATACCCAAATTTCGCATTGTTTCGGACATCATCTAAATTGATGGTCGTGACTAATGGGATGGACTAGAGGCATGTTTTAAAGATGGCCGCCAGTTTTTTAGATCATCAAAACGCAAAAGAATCCACAACCAGCCACTTGAAACAATACCAAACCTTACCCCCCCC